GTTTAGGGTTCAGGGCTTAGGGTTGTCAACCAATGGCCTGATTTTCTGTGTGTTCAAACCCTCTTCAATGATGATGACAGGAGGCTGCTTGTCCGAGTTCAAGCATGCCTATAGCAAGCCAGCAGAAATAAGACTAACGGAAAGTAAGACAGATTCCTTGTGAGAAAAACAAGGAAAAGGTCCTAAATACTTTTTTTTCGTAGAATGCACATGTTTGTGAGGAGCCTTTGCAGAAGCAGGAAGATAAAGGTTGCCCTGAAGTTCTGAGCCAGGACGAAGCCCCAAAAAGCCGCGCGCGAGCCGACGCTAGGGTTTAGGGTTGAGGGGTTTAGGGCTTAGGGAGACGAGTTCTTAAGGAAACGCAGGACCCTGATATACACCTGCCTTTCTCACTGACCAGATGTCGGCCTGTGCTTGCACGCTCTTCTGGATGTTTAAAACACTGGGGGTTTCTCAACAGTCTAAACCCTCCCATGTGCATCATGGAACGTGTCCTTCCTTCTGCACGCACTGCTGTACCACTGTAAGTTCACCCCCGAGTCGTGAAGACACCAACGGGTAGTCTTCACACTACGGTATTTTGAAGATAGAGCTGCAGGACTACTCAAGTTTGTAGCCAGTCTGAGATGCAAGATTCGTGGGGTGAACCGAACTACTACTACTACTACTACTAGTACTATTACCAGTAGTATAGTGGTCGTCGTCGTCGTAACGCAGAACGGTTGCAAATAATACTCCAGGGCGTCAGACTTTCAAGAAACTCCCGATTCGTTTGACTAGACTGTCACTCTACAGCCGCGAATATTCTCCGCAAGGCTACATGAAAAAGGGCCGGCGCAATGATGCCTTGCATCGTGAGGTCTGTTCTGGCACATGGGTTCAGGGTTATGGATTCAGAATCCATTCTGAGTTCCAAACCCGTCGCAGAACCTGATCCTGATCCTGACCCATCTCAACTTGCACATGATCCTCGTCTCAGATCGCACCGATGCAAGGATCACAAAAGTCGATTGCGAAAGGGCGGGAGCAAACAACCCCCTCCCTAAACGCCATCGGCATGGACAGCTTCTCTGCCGGGTGCACCCTGGTTGCAACCCTTGGGCTTTCAAAGCCCGCGCATAAGTTTCTGGGAAGCTAAACCCTGAACCTACTGTAGGAGCCTAAATACTTACCAACACTATTTCGAGGGTTCCTTATTATAAGTATACTATATAATGGACCCCAAAGCCCTTTTCTAATTATCCTATATTACACCGTAGACTTGTGCTTCAAATGCAGATGATGCCTTTCCAAAAACCCTAGATCCCTAGATCCCAAACCCTAAACCCTGAAGCCTAAACCCTAAATCCCAAACCACAAACCCGAAACCCTAAACCCTAAATCCCAAACCACAAACACCGTCAGCTGCAGGAGATGGCTGGAAGGAGGGGTGGAGGCCATCTGTTGGAAGGCTTGCGGCAAAGTCGACGAGTCTTTCAAGCTCGGGCTCGAGCTTCCAAATCTTGCTAATATAAGGGTTTAGGGTTTAGGGAAGGGCCTTAATCTTAATAATTAGAACCGGGGGGGGGGTGTATTAGAATAGGTTGATAATAAGGAGCCGTAAGGAATAATATTGGTGACTGTTTAATATTTAGGCTTCTATATTACCCTGGACCCTATCACAAGCAATACCATCTAGGTGCAGGGGTCCGTGGTTTTGTTGCAGTCTATGTCAGCATTGGTGTCTAGAACACGACAGGTGCTTTTCCAGCTGGGAAAGGGCCAGCCTTTGCGCCACAGGCTGCTGAATTGATGGGCAGTTTGCCAGCATCGATCCAGCGAGCTTGAATTGATTCGACCTCCAGTGCTCTCTAGCCGCGAGAAGCTTAAGACACCCACAACCCGAGTTGACCAATGTTTCCCTAAACCCTAAACCCTAAACCCTGAGCCGTAAACCCTAAAACCCTAAACCCTAAACCCTGACCCCTAAACCCTAAAGCCCTAAACCCTGCCCCCCTAAACCCACTTCGGAGCGGCCCTGAGGGCTTGGGATGCAAGCTCCACCAGCCGAGTGAAGCTGAAAACACCCAAAGACGCGTTAGGGTTTAGGGTTTAGGGTTTAGGGCTTAGGGTTTAGGGTTTAGGGTTTAGGGTTTAGGGTTTAGGGTTTGGGTCAAAGTTGTGGTCCCTTTTGGGGTACCCTAAATAATAGGTGCCGTATTATAATAAGGACCCAAAAAGGGACCATCATTTTGACAACCACCCAAATACATGCGCACCCATTAGCTCCAGCTGCGTCTAGTTTAGGATTTGTACCGTACAGCTCTGGCAAGTTCTACTCTTTAGTTGTTGATATTTTATGCTAAGTTGTAGTGTACCACCCAAAATGCCAAAGTCAGGGCCAACCTTGTCCTTCACAGCTTACGCTTCGGGGTTCGTGGTCTAGGACAGGCTACTCAGTGAGGGGTTCGTAATGTAGGGGCCTTAATAATTAGAATAGGGTTTGGTTCCTTATTATAATCATAGCATAAGATAACCCAAACCCTTTTCTAATCATGAAGGCTGAAGGTCCCTGCACCCTAAACCCTTATAGTAGCCCTTATGGAACCCTTTAAGGAACCCTTTAAAGGAGCCCCCCAAAACCCTACTCTAATTACTTTTTTGGCCCCTACAGTATCTACACGAGGCCTAGTTTGCGGGTCCAAGG